GGTGATGAACTCCTCTGGTAAAGACAGACAGTACATCTTGAACTCTGAATTCGTCTGACATTCTCCGATGCACTGAGGCGTATTTGCATAAAAGTCGAAATAATGTCTTCTCCGAATGCGTCACACTTTAATTCTTGTGGCAGAGCGACGGTTCCCATTTTGGGCTTTGATGCCTTCTCAGACACCCCCTGATTATCGATCAAATTACGAGATGCATATGTTAGTGTGTGTATTTGTGTGGGTGTTTGATCTTCAGCTGACCTGTGTTCCGTATCTCGTGATAGCTTTTCCAACACTCGGCCGGCTTATGCATTGTGTGCACACATGTTTGGAGCGAGAAAGAAAACTGTACCCAGGTGATGCTCTTATTATTTTGTCGCCACCACTTGTAAAGCTGTTCTCTGACTCACTAAAACAAACGAGTGTCACATGACTTTATCATGCGTTAACTTAATCGGACACAAAAATGAGACGTACGATAGCAGACATTTAAAATATATCCGACAGTTTTACTGCTTTGTTGCGAGGTGCATTTCGAGATTTCTTTGTTTGACTGAGATTTACAAAGGATGATAGCTGGAGTGAGTTCATGAGGAAAAATTATTAAATGCCATCGTCTTTATAGTTTCGCAGCGGGGTGTATTCTCCCCTCTCAACTTTTAAAAATGGCTTGCTAGCTGGGCCGATAGAAACAGGAAAGGCTGGAATGAGCAAGGCTTTTTGAGTCTTTCTGGCCGTCCTGTTCAATTTTTCAACGACCACTGAAACCTCCATCTAACTAACCGCTAATGTGTTTGTAGTGGCAGGCAAACGTCTAATCGGTGATTGAAAGTCAGTGTATCACGGTAGCTGTGCTGGTGCTTTCGTCCGGTGTATTACAAAACGACAATAGATTTCTCCAATTAAATTGTTGGATTAGCGTCGAGATTAGCTCAGAAACGTGTAGCCTCATTAGTCAAAGCCCCGATAGTTTTTACTCCGCTGCCTCCAGACCAGTAACAATTAACTGCCAAAAACCCGTTGCTGCATGATCTATTTTTTTACTCCTGGGTCGGCTGTGAGCTGTATAAAAAAACTATTGGAAGCCGGAACTGCAGAGAAGACAATTCACAGACGTTAATTCCTACGGTGTCCATTTGTCCATAACTGGGTTTTCCTCCAATGCTCAACTAGACAAATCACAGTCAGTCACGTGACCCTAAGGCTGTTACTGAAGGGGCTGAAGTCCGAATTGGCAAACATCTGATAATCGTGTTTCACGACAGGAAACACAGATTGGGATAGTAAAGACATATCTCATATTTTGGGGATTATAGTGAAGGTTTTGTAGACTTACTTACCGTAGCAGAAATACTCTGACGTGATGAAGCTTTTGCGCAATCAATGATAAATGCACAATTCATAATCAGTCATTTCGGTGCATGTGACCTTTCCCTATTGAAGGCGAACCTCAACAGAATGCAGTGTGTTCTAGTTCAGTCCCCGTGATTGTTTACTAAGGGAACAGTCTCCTGTCCGGAGTGAGATTTGGTCTTCTAGCTAGAAAAACCAAGACGGTATTTGATAGATAATCTACCACACCTTATTTAATATTCTTATTTAGTGTACATCTAGTAGCATAAATCTCCCGCTATTCTCTCTTCCGTCAGATTTAGAACGTAAATTCCAGCTTGAACCAACTTCGACTGAATTGCCTGCTGGCAGGCGTCTAGAACTGTCTTGTATTCCACCAGAAGGAAAACCATCCCCTGAGGTGAGTATGAGTGTATCGAATCTTCTTCATGTTAATACAATATACAATTTCCCTTTCTAGTTGCCATTAACTGCCGTTGGCTAAGCGAAGCTTATCTGCTGTTAAACAGCAGATAAGCTTAAGAACAACTCATAACAAGGTAACTATCCCAGTGACACTTAGAAATATGTCTACTAAAGTACCTCTGCCACATTTGCCCATGCTACAGAATAGAAGACACCACAAATCAGTCAATAATTTGGTAATAACAAACGGTGGATTAGTAACTGTTCCAACCCACTACACTGACGAAACAAAATGAATCCGAATATGGTTTACAACGTGAAGCATAAAACAGCCATTGCGACATGTGATAACTGTTCTGTGATCTGGTTCCAGCGTGACAATTCGTCTGGACTTAGTTGTGCGCGGTTATTGTCTGGTAAACTGAAGTCTGAACAGTGTTCCAACATAACTCGACATGACCAATGAAAGACAGCTAGAAAGAAAGACACACGAGTCCGACGTGGTTTTGGCGAAACGAAAGTATCGATTCTAAACTGTCTTCAAAAACATCTACATTTACTGTCTATAAAGTCCTAGAGAAGGCAGTCTGTGAACATACACGATGCATATATGAAGGGTGTCGCAAACCTTACTTGACCCAGCTCAACCATCATAAACCTAAATTGACATGTTATCCTAGGTCATGTCCACCTAACCGAAGGCCGTCTGATGTGAAGGTTTTGCGTCGACCCAAACTAAGCGGAATTCGCATCATAGATAGGTCATTTCTCAGAAAGAAGCAGATTCTTAGAACACAAAACGCCTCCATCCGGATAGCATTTTTGAACCAATTGTCCACAGCGATCTCGTTAACACAACAAGTTGCCCTAATCACTGCATCAATATCAAGATAAAATATTCAAACAAAACATGCTGGAAAATGGAATTACATGGCTTGATACAGACCACAAAACTGAAAGGTGTTTAACAATTCTTGTCGTTTTTGCGGAGTGGATATAAAACGGCGTTCCAGAGTCCAGAAATTGCGACGTGAACTTTAAATCCCCTGGGAAAGTTGTTAGTTTTCGACCAACCTTTTAATAGTTTGTAAATTCATTCTGTTTCGCAATGCATTTTTTGTTATCCATCG